ATGGAGTTGGAGAATATAATGCTAAGTGAAGTTAGCCAATCCCAAAAAAACAAATGCCGAATGTTTTCTCTGATATAAGGAGGCTGATTCATAGTGGGGTTGGGAGGGGGAGTATGGGAAGATTAGACAAACTCTATATAGAGAAAAGGGGAGGGAGAGGGAGGAAGGGGGAAAGGGGTGTAAAAAAGATGGAGGAATGAGATGGATATCATTACACTAAGTAATGTATGAACACACAAACACACACACAATATTCTCTCAATGTGTATGTGTTGCTTTTATCGAAAAAGCATTTTTTATCCCATAAACAAAAAGAAATGAAGTTTTATAACAGTGGTTCTTATCTTTTTGAGTATGGAATCTTTGAAAATCTAGTATATGTCATGGATCTGCTTTCCAGTAAAACCTTGTACAACTAAATACAGTTGTGCATGACTGTATATAGTCTTGCTAAGCATAATGGTCTCACAGGTCACCTCTTGAGAAAGAGCGACTGTACAGAAAAAAAAGTGCAATGCATAGCACATGAAATATGCTGTAATGCTGGCAGAAAGGGGTGTGAGGGATTGCAGGAAGAGATGAATTTCCACCGCAGATATCAGAGAATACTTGAAGCAGATGTTGAAAATTGTATTTGAGCCAGATCTTAAATGAAGGCAAGGATATCATCAAAAGAGCATTCATTATGAAGGCAGAGACACTTTCCTTTGTTGGCACTGCCCATACAAATGCAAAGGCAGAAAATATGGGTGTCTGCGTAAAAAGGACTCACTCTGACTAACTGGAGTGAAAGGTTCATTGAAGAGCATGACCTATGCTGAAGGTCTAGGCCCAGCACTGGGGGATTCAATAAGTCCTTAACTTCAAGAAGCTCACAATCTAACAGAGCATACAGATAAGTTCTTATTGTTACTATGCCATCCTTAAGTTGTTTGGTGTGGGAAAGTATAGAAGCACACAGAGAAAAGAGTTTCTTCTCAGGTGCCAAGGAAGATGGGTGACAGTGCTGATGTGGTAATCTTTAGACACAGGAGTGAAATATTTGGATCTTACTTGGTAACAGATAACAGAGCCTGGAAATATCTGAGTAAGAGAGGTGAAATGTGCTAAGAGTCTGGACTTAGGAGTCACACAACCTGTTTGAATCCAGGTCTGCTTCTTATTTCATGTGTAATTTGGGGATAAATTATTTATTTTTGGTTTTGGTTTCAGTTTCTAATTTTGGTTTTGGTTCCTAATTCTATAAAATAGGGAATATAACTAGTTCCTATTTTAGGATTATTGTGATAAGTAACCATAATAATAAAATTAATAATGAAACTATTACTACTAATATTTCAGGGGGTATAATTTAGAAAGAGGGCTCTGATAATGGCAGCATCTAAGGAATGGAGGGACAGAGACCAGAGAGGGGGCTGATGGGACTCATCCAGCAACCAGGACACATAAACGATGCCCAGCCTATAACCAACAACTGGCTTTTCTATAAGCTATTACAGAAAAGGGAAGAATAAAAAATATAGAAATACAGAAATAAGCACATCTACATGCTAGGCATCCTGGCAATCACTTGATATTCATAAACTTTTATTATACTTATAATAATCCCACAAAGTATACCTAGTTTTCAGAACAAAGAGGCACAAAGATTTAGCACATAACTAGTGGAAATAAAGTTTGGGCTCTTTACATAAAGTCCCCTCTATACGTCTTATCCTTCATTGAAGAGATAAAGATATTTTCTTTCTGTTCCTCTCAGTGATGGAGCTGCCTAGGTTTTAGCTGGCATCATAATTATACCTCTCAGCCTCTCTAGGTGTAACCAGTGGGATGTGAGTAGCGGTTATGTGTGCATCTTCTGGGTGAAAGCCTTAAATGAAAACTTCGTGCTCACCACCTCCATTTCCCCTTCTCATGAGCCAGAACCCACACATGATGGTGTTGGTGAAGGACCAGAGCAACAGCATAGAAGGAACTGGAGATTTTGGATGATATTGTGGTACAGAACAGCCTCTCTATCCTGGACTTCCTGCCTATATCTGAACTCTTTTTTAAGAGAGAAAGAAATTTCAATCCTGTTGAAGCCATTGTATTTTGGGTCTCTTTGTTAAAAGCAGCTTGCTGTGCCTGCTAACTAATAAATTGACCCATCTTATGTACAGTTCTTCCACTTAGCCCAATAAGACTTTCTTTCATTTAAATACAGGTTCCTATAATAAGTCATCTAGCAGTGATGGAGAAAATTTACAAAGTGTAAGGGGGAGGGAAAGCAAAGTTCCCCACATGCCACACAAACAGGCCAGTTTCTTCATGGTCTCCTCACTGTGTTTTAGTTCATGCCACATCCCCATTTAAAATATATCCTATCATAAAAAATCCATTCACCTGCCCGAAATTCCTTTAAAATTCAATCCAATTAATTCCAACATTCCACAAAAGGTTGTCTTCAGGATTTCCCATCCATTGTGATCCCATTTCCTAGTATCCATTTGGGTTACGGGAGTTTGTAAAACTCTCTTCATCAGGCACTGTCTTGGGCTGTGCCTGGCATGGTAAGTACTTAATAAATGTTTGTTGAAGAAATACATATACAAATATATAGCTTATAACTATGTCATGAAAAGTCAATTATTCTCTACTAACATCATGCAGAGTCAAGTAGTATAGGAGACAATAAGTTTTAAGTCAAATATTCTTGGATTCAAGACCTTGCTTTGCCATTATCCTCTGAATAACCTGGGAAAATCACATTACATTTGTTCTCAGTTTTCTCAGTGGTAAAATGGAAATGCCACCAAATGGTACCTAAAATTTATACCTATCATGAATGTTAAATGAAGAGGAATATAAAAATTCTGACACAAGACCTATCAGGTTCTATTATATATACAACTATATAATCTATCAATAAAAAATGTGGGAAAAAGACCTTAATATTTAATGTTTCCCAATTTCATGAAGATAAATTTAATAGTATTATTACTAAATTATGCCATTTAATTTTATTTCCTTTACATTAGAAATATAAAAATGCAAACCTAAATAAAATAAAAACTAAATTGAGATTTAAAAAATCATTGGACTGGGAATAAGATCCTAGTCTCACTTTCATCCACTGGCTAGAGTTTTGGTTTGGTTTTGTGGTACTGAGAATTAATCCCAGAGGAACTCTACCACTGAGACACATCTCCATCCCTTTTTATATTTTATTTTGAGACAGAGTCTCACTAAAGTTGCCCAGGTTGGCCTCAAACTTGCAATCCTTCTGCCTCAGACTTATGAGTAGTTGGGATTACAGCTCTTCATTAGCCAGTTTTGTGACATTAGGATAATCATTTAACTTCTCTAGTCCCATCTATCCTAATAGAAAAAGAAGGACATAGATCAAACTTCTTAATCTAGAACAATTATCACAGACAAAACTCCAAGAAAATCCTACTACCTTTGGCCAAAAGACTAGGAAAAGAGGAGCCCAACAGGACAGAAACATTTGAGTCTTCTAATTCTCTGTCCTGGAGGCAAACATCATGAAGATGTGGCCTTCCTTGCCCCTGAAGGGTGTAGCTGCAGTGGAAAGCATGGTATAACCTCATCTTTCACCTTCTCCTTATGTCCTATCTCTGCAGAATTGTGATTTCACCCCTGAACTGCACTAAAGACTCCCTAGAGGACATAGTTCTAATCTCCACCTTCTCCTTCAGTGATAAGAAATTATTCTTCCCTATGTTACAGATGTGGGAAGTCCTCTGACTTCTACCTCTGAAGAAAGGCAAAAGTTATCTTATTCCTGGGGTACCTCCCTTCTGCCTCTATTTTCCAAGAAACCTGTTCTTCCAAGAAACTCCCAACCTAGAATTCTAGGTCCAGTGAAAATAGACTTCAGAAAGGAAGGTGAAATAAACATATTTTGAGATGAAGGAAAGATAAGAGAATTATTTGCCAGCAACCCAGCTCTGAAAGAATAGCTAAGGAAAGTTCTTCACATCATAAAGGAAATTATAAACTTGGAACAAGAGAAATGTAGAAAAAGCAACAAATTGTGGAAAAAAACGGATAAGTACAATAGACTGTTCTTGCTTTTTTAAAATTTCATCTGACATTTAAAAGCAAAATTATAATATTTTGGTTCTAAGTGCATGTAGATATAATGTTTAAAACAATTATAAAGTGTGAAGGTCAAGGGTCCGAAATTGTTATGTCTCTCTTTCATGAAGTGGAAAATTCTTGCACTGGTGGACTCCGTTAAGCTACTAATATAGCTCATAATATTTAGAGCAACCACATTTAAAAAGATATATGCTTCAAAACACTACAAATGAATAAAAATTGACTGATAAGAGAAGTGTCCAAGTAGCTCACAGAAAGACAGGAAAGGGAAACAGGAATGAAAAACAGAGCAACAAACAAACAACCCAGGGAAAAAATAATAACTGGTAGACTTAAACACTAACACAGCAATGAATAGATTAAGTAGAAATGTCCTACCTTCACCTATTTAAGGACAGAGATAGGCATAATTTAAAAAAAAATCAACCAAGTATATGTTGTCTACAAGAATTCATTTCAAATATGATTATAAAAAGTGTGTTAAATGTAAGACAATAAAGAAGCAAATACTACTCACATAATAATCAAAAGACAGCTGATACGGCAACATTTTATCAAATAAAGTTAGGTAAAAGAAAATTACCAGGGATAAAGAAGGACATTACAAGAAAAAAAGAATTTCAGTAATGTTTAAGAAGAAAACAAATGAGTTAAGAAAGGTAACCTAGGTAGCACACTTAAAAAGTAAACATCTAAATCTGCTGCGCCACTAGAAAGGGCAGGTAGGTAGAATGATGCCAGTTGTCTGGTAAGGTAAACAAAGCTCAAAGTGGGACTTAGCAGGTTAGCAGCATGAGCTGCCCAGCCACCCATCCTCTTGCCCCAGGTCCCCAGAATGTCCCTTGTCCTGCAAGTCAGGGTTAGCATATGGACGCAGTCGGGCACCTTCCTACCTTTTGAACATCCAAGTGTGAATTCTCAAAGTTCACTTGAAAGAAGTTGCCAAACACAGGTAGAGGCCAGGGCCCCGGCGGGTAATTCTTTGGGCGCCGCCTTTTGAAGTCAGCAAAGAACAGAAAGACGACAGCACCCACCAGTAAAGTCCCAGTATGGAGCCCTGCCCAGAAGGCGGTCGCCAGAGAGACCACCTCCTTGAGCATGGCTCAGAAAGCTGAGGGCTCTTCTAGAATGCAAATAAACTCTTCTGCTCCAGTCCTTTCCTGCTGTCACTGTAGCCGGCCCCTCCCCACGCCCCGCGCCTCTGCCCTGCCTTCCGCCAGGCCCCTCCTTCCCAGGGCCCCTCCTTCTGGCTCTTCTCCAGACCTCCCCCAAGTCAAGCCACGCCCCCTAACTCCCTCAGCCTCTTACCCAGCCCTGTTCTTGGCAATGAAAATGCAAGCTAAGATTCTTGGGCTGCAACATAATTGAAAAATACTTGGCTAGGACCAGTTTCTTTTCGATTTAGAAAGTCCTCCTTTCTCCGAGACCGTTGAGATTCTTAGATTATGATTCCCTCAGGTTATGCATCTCAGAGAGCGCCACAAACATTTGAGCTGCTGTTTTCCAAACACCCTCTCACCCTGTGACCAGAACTATATCTAGTAAACAGAAGTGACAGCAGCATCCAACATTTCTTGGCTTCTTAATATACGCCATAAAGCACACTTAACTCTTTACATAAATCATTCTGCTTCTACAGATCTTGTTAGTTCTATCTTGCAGTTGAGGAAACAGTAAGTACTAAGGTTAAGTACTAAGAACATGGGGTGAATAAGACAATCTACAGGTCTAAAATATATCTAAGAATGTCCTGTGTTTGAAAGTGTTCTGAAGATTCAAAAGCATTACATCAAAGCTCTTAGCACTGAGTATCATCCACAGTAGGAGCTTAATTAACATTTGTTTAGGAATGTCTTAGTCCTGATTCTATTTGGTCTGCCCTGTGAAGATCCCTCAGAAGCCCCAAGAGTGTTAGGATTCCAGGAACCAACCTTCCATGTCATCCAATGGCGCCTACCTGTGTCTCACCATTTGTGAGATATTCAAAACCTGCAGCATGATTCTGGAATACTAATCGTGTACTAAATGTAAAAATACACATTCTATTCTTTTTTTCTTAAAAAATAAAGGAGAATTTCCTATCTTTCCAATATGGAGAAGAGGTGGGGTGGTAGTTAGAGCTTACTTTGTATCCTCCCAGTCCAAAATTTCCTGTTTTAATACAGTTACTATATATCCATATGTTATTTCTATATTTACACATGTTGGAAGAAATTTTCTAAAACTGTTTTTTAAAAATTAAGCTCTGTATTATGTATTATTATCCTGAATGCTTTACATTTGAAATTAATTCATTCAAAAAAATCCAAAGAATCAATAAAATAAATACACAAGAGTTTTCAGATATTGGAAAAGTGGAACTGCAGGACTGTGATTCCCAAAAGAAAGGACAAATGAAGTGAACTCCACCATCTCTGACTTTCTCCCTGGAGGCATTTACTGGACCCCATTACAAGAAGGAGAGGGGACAATCAGATCATCTTTATTAGATGAGAAAATATAGTTTGGAGTGACTGACATGACTGGAATTTGTAAGGCAGAGAAAGGAGCAAGCTATGCCAAGAAGGAGCTCCATAAATCTTCAAGGAGATCAGCTGACCTCTGTAGGTATAGGTCGAGACTCCAAGAGGCTGGACAAAGAACATCTAGTGGGGACAAAATAACTAACTGCCAAAAAGCTATAAGCTTAATGGTTGCCATAGGTTTTACTGGGTGGGAATTATTAAACACTGAGCAAAGTGGAGAAACCACATTAAACATCTCAGGTAATCAGTAGGGACCCCAGAAAAGTCACCTCAAGGAGTCACAGAATGCAGGCTACTTTAGACCCACTCTAACAAAGTTTTAAAACTCAAAAAACAAAACAAAGGTGTTTTACAGGTAAATTAACTGCCTACCAAAACCAAAACTCAACACTCTTTAAAAGCAGACAAAAGATAATCCAAACACTCAAGAATGAAAAATATATATATCTAATCCATAATTACTGGACATTTGAAGAAGCAAGAATATGTGACCTATAATCAGAAGAAAAATCAGTAGAACAAATGCTAGAAATATGGAATTATCAGACAAGGACTTTAACTGGATAGTATAAAGGATTTAAAGAAAAACATGCAAATAATTGAGAAATAAACTATAAACTTAGAAGAATCAATTCATTCCAGAGTGGAAAAATAAAATGTATTATGTTAAAAAATTAATGAGTTGCTTAATGGCAAATGAGACCCTGATGAAGAAAAAAAACGAACTTTAAAACTGAGCTGTAGAAACTATCCCAACTGAGCACACAGAGAAATAAAAGTGAAAAAAATAACATAACTTCAGTAACCAGTAACTCAACATCAATAGGTCTAACATTTATATGACTCAATTCCAGAAATATGGGCAGGAGGTCAGTTCAGAAAAGCAACATTTGAAGAAATAATAACCAAAGTTTTTCCAAATTTTCTTAAAGCGATAACCTCACAGATATAAGAAACTCAACTTTAATCAAGAAAAATGTAAAGAAAACTATACTAAGAAACATTATAACCAAATTGCTGAGGAGTAATATTAAAAATCTTTAAAACAACCATAAGACAAAAGACATTCAATGAACAAGGGAACCGAGGGATAAATAACTGAAATTTCATCAGAGATAATAAAAACCAGAAAACCATGGGAAAACATCATCACAGTGCTAAAAAGAGGGGAGAAAAACTTGTTAAAATAGACTTTTATATCTGAACAATTTTTCAAAAATTAAGGCAATATAAGACATTTCAAAACAAAAGAAGAGGGAAAGGAGAAAAAGGAGGAAGAGGTGGAGGAGGAATTGGAAAAAATGTGGCTAGAATTGACGGCACAATGTACTGAACTGGCTTATGAGGTAAGCAGCTGGGGAGAAGTCAACTTCGGGGACTTCATCAACACATGTCTTTCAGCCTCAAGACTGTTAGACTGTGATGGAAATGATGAAAAATATTATGGAACTATATATACTTAATTTTTTTTTCTTTTGGTATCCATTCTCATGTAGAGACCATTAACACCAAATGATTTGTGTATTCATAATCCCCCATTCCCCCTTCCACCAGTAATAACCTATGAGCTCTGAAATGGAATGGCCCCATACTATTTATTTGATTTATAGTGTATCGTCAATAAATATTTGAACTGACCTGAGACGACTATTAATGTGAGGTTTTGTTTCAAAAACAGCTTTATCTACTCTTTCAAGTAGAAGTATGCTAAGGTTTGGTCTTTCTGCATTTAGGGTGACACAGCCAGCATGTATGGGTATTGGGGAAAGCAATGCAACTTCATCAAGTGAAAAAAAAAGTTACCTTAGTAACCATTTTGAAGGATGCTGCCATATGTTCAAATCTATTCACAATAAAACAGCATCTTCCATTACAAATATATAGAATTTTACTTTCACATATTTAATGATCTCCCTTGAGATCTGAAAACATACAAATGGCATCTGATCAGGTGACCAACTTCAAAAATAATCCTGTTCAGTCGGTTTAGTCAAAACTGATATTTCCACTTATTTCCATCCAGGGATCCCCTCAGCGTGCTCCCACTATAAATGCCCACTTGTTCAGGCTGTATTTAGAATGGAGCCCAGTTCTATTCTGAGGTCTTTTTCCTAATTTTTCTTAAATGAAATATTTTTGACACTTTTACTCCTCTTCAGCTCTGGTTTTCTTTGATTAGAAGGTCCTACTCACTTTCCACATATCTCCTATGAAATGGAGGAGAAGCTAAGTTTTCCCTCCCCCCGGTTAGAGGCTTCAAGGCTACAGGAATTATTTGTTTTTGTAAAGTCTCTTGGTACCACAAATCAGTGCCACATTGAGGCTTGAAACTTCCTGTAGGCAAGAAGCTGAGTAAGACTGACAGTGATGGCCAAGAAGGGCAGGCTGTCTTGAAGGAATACTGCACTGCCCCTCATGGTGTGGCATGGGTGTGGGATTTTATATGAATCTGAGAATGCAAACAGCTTGAGGTCCCAGCGGGGATCTGTTTGGAGGGATACTGTAACCTGAAGAGGAGCTGAACTGGCAAATTCCCAGAAGAGGGAAAGATATGTCAAACTGAAGACAATATACCTTCCACATCAAGGGCACTGCACATGGTGGGCCCTGGTGGCACTGCAGTGGGTGGGGAGTCACAAGGCAATAGCCCATGGTATGTAGAGAGTTCATTGAACCTCTGCCAGCCTGCCTGGAAACCTACCAATTATAGAGGAACATAGCTTGCAGTTTGAAATGTCTTGCTCAAAGTTAGAGTAGGAGGTTGAGTGACCAACTTGCATGTCCTTGGGCACTGCTCCCCAGCATCCTCCACCTTTCCCTTTTCGTAGCTTAGCAACAAACAACACACACATGGGAAAACTGACTCAGTTTGCTTGGGCAAGCTTAAGAGAACAGCTGGGGGCTGGGGTTGTAGCTCAGTAGTGGACTGTGAGGCACTGGGTTTGATCCTCAGCACTACATAAAAATAAAGTATTGTGTCCATCTACAACTAAAAACAATTTAAAAGGAAAAGATTAAGCCAATCTAGTTGACAGTGTTCTTAAGGAAGGGAGGGAGGGAGGGAGGAAAAGAAAGCAAGCAGCAGTTCACCAAATCTTGAGCTCTGGAGTCCCCTGTTCTAGCACAGTTCCTTGCTTACTCAGGTAGTCATCCATGCTACTTAGTCACCTGGCCAGCCCTTGCTTCCTATCTGAACATATAGGGCAGAGAGGGCAGTCCCTCTACCGGACCTCCCCCTGGTGCTTGCAGTCTTGCTATGCCTGACCCAGGTCCATTGCCACCAGACTCTTCTCTGCTGTAAGTCCCTTGACTTCCACCCTGATTTTACAATTATACTTCACTGTGCCCATGTTTGCATCTCTTTGTAGCAGAGTTGTGGAGAGAAGATTCACACCCTGGGCTGCCTCTGGTTGCCTCATCCACAATGTGGCAGATAATATCAGAATATATTTTATTGGCACACTAGGTTCCAGGTACAAAGAAGGGAGTAAGGAGTCCTGAGGTTTCCCAAATAAAGGAGAAACAGGAGACTCACAAGAGTACATTTAACAAAATCCTTATGTGATGCTTGGATGGGAAGAGGACTCGTGTGTTTTAATGTCTCCAACAAATTTTGAGCAAAAAGAAGACACACTTTTTATGCACATG